CCTAGGCATTCTTTTTTTTTTTTCTCCTTCACCACCCAGGAGTCAATCTGGGGACAATGGCACAAACTGGGGACTGAAGAGCTCACCCTGAAGGCTGCGACAGCTCACCCCGAGCCGAGGGCAGCCCACCCTGGGCAGAGGGCCGCGATGGGTCGCCCCGAGCCGGGGGCCAAGGGCAACCTGCCCCGGGCAGAGGGCCATGATGGCTCACCCTGAGCCGGGGGCCAAGGCCAGCCTGCCCCTGGCAGAGGGCCGAGGGAAGCCCGCCCCGGGCAGGGGGCCACGACGGCTCACCCCAAGCTGGGGGAATTCTTATTAATTTAACAGGAGTTGGAGATATCATAATAATTCAAAGAAATATAGAAACATGTAAGACAATAGAAATGAAAAAACCTAGATAACTCTGAAAGATAGAGATTAGAGAGATTTTTTTAAAAGGCTTGATAATTTGGGAGACTCTTTACAAGACATCATGCTTGGGAGGGTGGAGAGACAGCACAGGAGGGGAAGGCCCTCTATGAGGTGGATTGATTCAGTGAGTGGGATAATCGGGATGGGAGTATCAGAGACAATGCGATTAGCACAGGACAGAGCAGAGTTTAGGGCTGTTGTACATAAGGTCGCTATGAGTCACAGGCGACTCGATGGCACATAACAACAACAACAACTTTACAAGGCTTGTTTTCTTATCTAACCTTGATATTCTTTATGTCCTATCATGATTGCAGCTTGCATAATGTTGGACTTAATTAAAGTTGAAACTCCTATTTGAAACTATTTTTAAATTTTGACTTTGTATGAAAATATCTCTGCTATACATTCTAGGCTGAAAATGGAGACAGCTTCTCAGATACTGACCTGATGTCTGAGGTGAACACTTTCATATTGGCAGGACATGATACCACAGCAGGAGGCATCTCCTGGCTTCTCTACTGCCTGGCTCTAAACCCTGAGCACCAGCAGAAATGCCGAGAGGAAATCAAGGCCATCCTAGGAGATGGATCTTCTGTCTTCTGGTAAGATCCGTACTTCTAAACATATCAGCCCAGTAATTTATTTTATTTTTTTTCTGATATCTTGTGTTTTAAGTTTTAAGTTTGATCCAAAGGGTTTGGGGGTGTCTGTGGGTTCCTTGGATGATCTGTAAGGTACAGAAAGAAGAAATAAAACTTACCTAGGTTGTTGTTGTTGTGTTGTTGTTGTGTACCATAAAGTCAGATCCGATCCATAGCTGACCCACCAGTGGGTTTTCAGAGGTAGTTAATCACACAGGAAGAGATTGCCCATCCTTCTCCTTCAGAGCAGCTGGGTGGTTTCAAACCACATGCCTTCAGTATTACAGCACAGCTTCTTGCCACCAGGGCACCAGAACTAGACCAGAAAACAAATAAAATTCCATTTTCATAGGTTCAGAATGACAATTACAACATGCCTTCTTGCAGGGTCACCCAGGAAGGTGCACACAGGAACAAGGCAACATGTTGGAATTGTAGAAGAGAGCTTTAGCAGTCAAGATGAGGACTGTGATTAGGGATTAGTGTGTTCTGGCTTTACTGGTGAGTTTAAACTTTTTGTGCATTAGTGCAGAAAAGGAAGACATTTTAATCACAGGCATCCATATGAGTTAAGACCTGGAGGAACAACAACAACAAAAAAAAATAAAGACTCTTGGGTTACAAGATGACAATGAAGTTTCTATCATGGGATATTATGTGAGAAAAGCTTGTTAGAGACTGCAATAGTTAAGATTCTGTGATGAAACAAGAATGGGCATGCTAGAAATTGAGTACAATGGAAGAAATTAATGAATGTTCAAGCATCAAACCACATTAATCACACATTGGTCATATGAAACTTGATAAGTAGTATGACTATCAAGACATAGTATCTTAAGTTATCTGTATGTGGAAGCAGAACTATGCTGTTTTTCAAGAAGACCTAACATCCCTTTGTCATTTGCCAAAGAAGTTTACTCAACTATAAATTGCTATTGTTTTTCCCATCAGTGGTGTATGAATGCGCCATTTATTTCTCTCACCCACTGGAGAAGAACATTTGATCCTGAGGCTTCTGCACATAGTTTAAACAGTATTTGTTGCCAATAGAACTTCTCCTTTTAGAGTCCTAAAGAATCAGCTATGTCAGTGTGGACAATCTTCACCTGTGAACAACCTTACTTACCGGGATTGGCTTTGGATTTTTAACATAAGTGATGTACACTGTAGTTCAGTTTGGCAAATAAAAACTAAAGATATTCTAAGTGCTGATGTGTTAAAAATGAATAATTATGCAAAAATCCTTAACAAAGTCCTGGCCAACAAAATCCAAAAGTATATAAAAATTAATACTTCATCATTAACAAGTAGGATTCATCACAGGAAGGCAGGGGTGGTTCAACATAAGAAAAGTAATTCATGTAATTCATCACATTAACAGAATACATCAAAAAAACCAAGAACCATATACTCCTATCAAATGATGGGGAAAAAAAGCCTTTGACAAAATCCAAAAACTCTTCCTGGTTAAAGCACTCGGCAAAATAGTAACAGAGGGGAATCTCCTCAACGTTGTGAAAAGTATATATGCAAATCCCTTATTCTCAATGCAGAGAGAATAAAGACATTCTCCTTGGAAACAGGGACCAGACAATAATGCCCACTACCACCATTCCTATTCAATATTGTATTGGAAGCTCTAGATAGGTCAGTTAGGCAAGAGAAGGAAATAAGAGGCATCCAAGTTGGAAAAGGTGTGGTGAAACTGTCACTATACGCAGATGACACAATAGTGTACACAGAAAAACCCGAAGATTCAATCAAAAAAAGTGTTAGAATGAATAATATATTTATATGTATATATATATTTCTATATATTTAATATATATAAGGATATCTACCAAATATAATATAGGTATAAGATAACAGGATATAAGATCAATGTATAAAAAAATTTGTTTGATTTCTCTAAGGCAACAAAGGGCAGAAAAGGAAACTAGAAAAGCAATACCATTTACAATAGCCAACTACAAGATTAAATACTGAGGGATAAGCTTAGCTGGAGACACAAAAGGTCTTTATGAGGAAAACTACAAAACTTTAGTACAAGAAACAGTAAGAGATCTGACTTAACAATCTAACTTAACTAACAATAAAAGATCTAATGGAAAATTATGCCCGTTTCATGGACAGTAAGACAGAACATTTTGAAAAGGACAGTCATACCAAAAGCAATCTACAATTTCAACACAATACAGAACCCAAGCTAATTCTTCAAAAAGAGAGAAAGGTAATTTCCAGCTTCACTTGAAAAGGAAGAGACTCAGAATAAACAAAGTTATTCTGAATAATAAAAATGAAATAAGAGCCATCTCACTTCCTGATCTCAAAGCCTACTACAAAGCCATAATAATCAAAATAGTTTTGGTACAATGACAGACACGTAGATCAATGAAATAAAATAAAGAGTACAGAAATCAACCCATCGGTCAACTTATATTTGACAAAATAATAAAGACTATTAAGTGGGGAAATGACAGCTGCTTTATACAATGGTGCTGGCAAAACTGGGCATCTACCTACAGAAAACTGAAATAGGACATTTCACTCAACAGACAAATACCAACTCAAAGTGGATCAGAGACCTAGCATTAAAGCCCAAAACTATAAAGATCGTAAGAAACAAAATGGCAACAAATTCTGAAATGCTGGCGTGTGGTATAAATAGGCTTGTAAATAGATCCAAAAATCCTCAACCTGGAAAACATAAAATTCATGAATGGGAACTTCTTAAGATCAAATCCCTGTTTACATAAAAATATTTTTCCATTTAAGTGAAAATAAAATTCACAAATTTAAGGGGAAAAAACTGGCAACAACTTTTCAGACAAGCCTCTCATAATCAAAATTTACAGAAAACTACAGATTCTCCACAAGAAAAATCTGATAAGCCAATCACAAAGTGGACACAGACATGAAAAGACTCTTCACAAAGGAGACTATTCAGATAGCCAATAGATAGGTGAGGAAATGCTCAAACTCACTAGCAAACAGAGAGATGCAAATTAGAGCAACAATGAGAAACCATCTCAGTCCAGCAGCAATAGCAAAGTTTAATAACATGGTAAGCAATAAATGTTGGAGAGGATGTGGAGAGATTAGAACTCTTATATAAGTACTACTGGTGGTATTATAAAATGCTACAACACTATGGAAGGAAGTTTGGCATTCCTCAAAAGCTGGACATAGAAAACCCATATAACAAAAAAAATCCCATTGTTAGGAATATATCCCAGGGAAATCAGAACTGAGACATGAATGGAGACGTAAACCTATGTTCATAGCAGCATTTCACAATAGCTGTGAAAATAGACACAGTCCAAATGCCCATTAATTAACTAATGGATTGAGACTTTGTGGTACAATTGTAGAGTGGAATACTATACAACATTAAGGGAAAATTACTTCATAAAATAATTTATAACCTGAGAGATACTAGAGTGCAGTATGCTTAGTGAAATATCTCAGTCAAGCCACATATGTAAAAATATTGCATAAATATCTTATTGTGATTGTAGAAGAATAACTGAGAAAGATATGTACAGATGTTCAAAAGGGGAAGGGGAGAAGGAAGGACAGAAAAAGAAAAATGGGGGGAAATCACTGGAACAGCAGAGACTGATGGATGAAGGGGCAGATGAAGTATTGGGAAATGTTCAATGAAGACTTGAAAAGACAGAAGAGATACTAGGCATAGAGCAATGGTTATTAATAATACAAAATATAAAGTATATGAATGATTAAGTAAAACACAAAGTGCATGTACAAACGAATGATTATGTGAAAACAAATACAAGTTTTTAAAAATGAGTAAAGTTTGGTGTGGGCTCAACTTTCACTGAGCTCACAGTCTAGTACAGGAGAGAGAATCATACACAAATAATTCAGTTCAATATAGTAGAGGACAATGTACTAGTGACTACAGAGACACAGAAGGTAGGCATCAAATATGACCTATAGAGTAGGAGGGTGGCTCATGGAAACTTCCTAGGGGATTTGACACCCAAGTTGTCTCTTACGGAGAACCCAAGTGGAAAACTTTAATTCCATTTTTAAAAACTGAGCATATCTTACTGTTAATTAAGTCTACTCATGGATTTTTTCTCTCAGACATGTTGTTTGCAAAAATATGTTCCTGGCATAAACCATACCCTTACTCCATTCTGAAACCAGTCCACAATGGATGACCTTCAGGCATTTGAAACACCAGTGGCATAGCTTCCAGCATCACAGCAACCCACAAGTTGCCCTAGTACAGTAAACTGACAGACAAATGTTGTACTAATAAGAGCAAACAGTAGAAAAAGTATAAAGTAATTAGCAACAAGTAAATAATTTCCTCAATACAACAAACTAATAGATTGTACTAAGACTAATACTAAAACTAATAGTTGTAACTATAAAAGCAAACCATAAAGACAGTTGTTGTTGTTATTAGGTGCCATTGAGTCATTTCTGGTGGCCCCTCCACCTTTCCAAGCATGATATTCCTTTCCATGGAATAACATCTCCCAGCAACATCCCCAAAGTATAGGAGACAAAGCTTTGTTATCTTTGCCTCCAAGGAAAACTCTGCTTGAGAGTTTTCCTCTCCTTCACTGACCTTCTGTTTTTTGAGCATCATGTCTCCCTCACAGGAACATACCCAAAGTATGTTAGGTGAAGCTTTATCATCTTGGCCTCTTCTAAATCCAGCTTTAACTTCTAGCAGTTTTCTATCTATGTATTATTCTAGTCATTTGTTAGTTATCTTTACCATTATTTTGCTTGTTGTTGTTGATAAGCGCTATTGAGTCACAGTGACCCTATGAACGACAGACCTGAACAATTGTATAATTTTTATCATTTCTCCAAGTTCATAGAGTTTCCAGAGGCAGATATTTCAGAAGTGGATGCCACTCCTGCTTTCATGCTTGTAATCAGGGAGCTCCACCAAACACTGTCCACCATGGGTGACCATT